TATTTCTTCTAGTGATAAAATTTGGAGGACCCTTTATCCTTTATCCACTGCAGTTTCTGTACTCTTATTTCTGATATGTGACAATGCAATGCATCTCTCTAGATGTAAATTAACACAGCCAAAATTAAGTCAGCATATGAGGATTACTGTTGCTAAACTAAGTATAGGGACATGCTTGCCTTCAGTTTTAATGAGTTCTAAAAGTTTCCCATCTGGAGTCAATAGAAGGACAAACTGAACCTCCAGCTGTGGTCTCCCTGAATGTCTTTTTGAAGCAATTCCCAACTGTGCTAAAGTTTTACTCATCACAAAGGCTTCCTACAGAACATGAGGTATTTATGTATTTTATTAATAACTGTATGCTTCACTTTGCCCTAATGTTACCTAAACTGTGCCAGCCCTCACACACTGAAATATATACTGCTATTTGCTATTACTCTGGGTAGTCTTATATGTAAGCAAAGATAAACAGCTTTAGGTATAGAATGACAAAAAATAAAATAAAAATCAATTTGTCGAGGCAATGCTTCAGAGAAAGAAAGGTCAAACTGCATATGAAAAAAACCCAGCTCTCTCGATCCATTCCTAGCTAAAAATGTATTTTACATGCATGTGTACATATACATGTGTGTGTTTGCCCTTTTGCGTATATTCACACACTGAAAGCATTTCAAAGAATTAGTTTTAATTATTGAAAAATATCAGCTGAAATTACAATGTCTTATGACAACTACTAATTACTAATTTATGAATTTAGGTTTTGATTGAATTTATAGCACTGAATATATTAATATGTCGAGCAAGGGTCTTTCAATACAGTTGATCTCAAAAAACAACCTAAATTATTTTATTCCCATGGCAAAAGTAATACTTCATTATTACAATGAAAGTACTATCAGTCAGAAAGATTAGTTAAAAAATGTAACTTAGATATTTTATGAATTTTGGAGCATTTGTCAATAAGACCTGAATTTCTGTTGATGCAGAGGTTTTGGTTTGTTTTTTTTTTTTGGTGCAGAATTTATAGTCATTATTTGCTTCTCCATGTTTTGCTATGTCATTATTTATACCATCTGTTGTATGTGATCTGCAGGGAACCAGCAAGTTAAGCAACTTTATTTTGCTGATGAATAGCAGAGAGGATTCACTAAATAGGTTAAGCTATATGAGCTAAAAACCAGGAGATTTTAGATAAACTTGGTATGTGGAAGTGTATTTTCATTATGACACTCTAATAACATTGAGTACAATTAGTGGTCTTTAGATTTTATTGGCAATAGGAAATAAGAAAAAAATAGATCATGATTATTTTAGATAAGACCATAAACATGACTAGTTTGGGGATCGATTTAAAACATGCATTCAAAATATATTTGTAGACCTTTACTTATATTATCAGAAGTAGGATTAGTGTCAAAATACCTCAACACCCAAGAATAGTTGTGTTAACTAAGGTTTTGCACTGACTACTGCTGCTGGTTTTTAAATGAACATAATGGTAGATCATGACCAAATCCAAACCATACAATTCAAGCTCAATGGTTCTGATGTTTTTCATAAGCTCCACTCATGTGTTATAGGAAACAGTAGACATTTTGGTGTACTTATAAGAATATCAGATATCCTGATATATTTTTTGTTAGAGAGGGAACAGAACCTCTGTGGATTACAACAGGGATTATGCTTTAAGAACAATTAAAAGAGCTTCCCAGCACATTACGAGTAGGCTTATTTAAAATAATAAATATAAATAGATTGATTAGGTAACATTGGAGTTGGTGTAAATTTAATGTTAAGAGGCACTCAATAAAGTCCATTCATAAAAGGAATGAACTTTACTGAAGTGAGTGAGACAAGCAAGATCAGCCTTTTAGCTGAAATGACAATGTATTTATTTCACAATGGAACACTTGAATTTTACTGATACTTGATTATATAAACAGCTGATCTAAATGATTGCCTATTATCTGCCCAGCCAGCTAGTCTGTGTCTAACTACACTCATGATGGATATCAAAAATTCCCAGGAATTTATAAACTCCGAGTGTGACTTAATTAACAGGTGGCCAGGAATAATAAAGTTCTATTTTAAGCATTATGACAGGTGAAATCATGTCAGATAAAAGAAGCCACTCTGTTAAGAAAATGTGCATTTTACAGTGTATCATAGTTTACTACTGTGATTAAAAATTAGGCATGACTCCTCATGATAAATGATCCTGGAACAATTGTTCAAAACAGTAAGTGGTTCCAAATCTAGAAACTATGCAATGACTCAAAAACATTCCTTGGCATTTCAACAATATATTAAAAGAGGGGAATTGATTAAATTTCTTTAGTTACTTATAACTGCTTAATGACAAGTCATTACACATGAAAATAAGTATATTAATGAGAGTGTTTGTTGAGTGTTCATTAACAGTAGAAAGTTATCCTGGATCAAAGCAGACAATTAATCATACAAGATATTTTTAAACAATGCTACCTGTGAGTCTGCCTATTCTTGAAACCAATGTCACATCAGAAGGACATGAAACCACTTTCAGCTATTTCTGAATAAATCCACCAGTAAACAAGCCCTTTTAGCCTATCTTCTACTTTGACAGATTGTCCAAGAAACAAATTTGGTCAATAAAAACAAAATGTTCTCTCTAAAAGTTAAAAAAGTCACAGCTGACAAACACAATGTAACTTCTAAACAACTCCTTAGCTTCATGTCCTGTCTCTCTCCTCCTCCCACAGATCCAGCTTGCAAGATGCTGACCAGTAATGAGATACACCACACATCCATCACACCCACTGTCTCAGGGGGAGGTGAGAGCACACAGGCTCTCTGGCAAGGCTGTGTTCAAACTCGGGTATAAAACTCAAGGAAGGCAGCGATATATATGAGGAGAATTTATCGCTCCTAATCCAGCTCCTGGCTCCCACCCTGCCATAAGTAGGCTGGAGAAGTACTAAAACAGTGAGCACCAACAACACCCGGGTACAGAGTGTTCCCTGAAAGGGAAGCAGTCAAACAGACAGTGGTTTCATAGGAATTTGTTACAACTGTTACACAGCAGCTTGTGAGGAAGATTGAAAGCTGTTGGAAGGGGTCTTGTGCTGTTGCTCCCACAGGAACCAGTCGTGTTGGCGCCACTGGTCTACTTCACTACCACATATTCTACACTTCTAGCCCCTCAACATTAAATTTAAACCAACTCTGAATGTTACCCAAACTATTTATTTATATAAATTATTTTCTATAAGCCTACTCTTAATGTACTGAGAGGCTCCTTTAATCATTCTGATTTCATATTTCCTGCAATCTCCAAAGCTGCAGTTGTACATTTTTCTCCTCCAACATAAAATATATAATGATATTTTATATAATGATATTTTATGCCACACCTTATGAATACATCAAGATTTCTACCATTCCCAATAGCAAGTAGATTGTATGTTCTCAAACCCAGATGCAAAATTAAAAGGCAAAAGGTAATAATAAATATTGCAAAAAACATAAAAGAAAAAAAAATCATTATTGCAATTAGTGTACAATAAGAATTTACTCCACATTTCCATTTATTGTAACTGCTTTTATAGGAGTCCTATCTCTATAGCTTAGCATGAAGGACACAAGAGTAGCAGAGGGAAAGTGGCATTGTATGAGATACCTTCTTTAAATTCAGAAGATTGGCTGTCAATAAAACATATTTATAAAACAAAAAAAACCATGGTCAACTTTACTGAGCTTGAATACATGAAGTGAGATATTCAGATTGTCCAGCTTCAATGGGCTAAGAAACTTCCAGGGATAGTTCCAAGGAAAACATTGCCATTGGCCTCATTTTTCTTAGGAGAGAGCCAGAACGAAGATGTCATTGCTTTATTCAAGCCAAATGAACTGAAATAAATGGGAAAACTGGATGTGGTTATGGTAGGCAGAATTTTAAAACAAAACTGAGTAATTCTTATTTTAAATTGTTTTGACTGAGTATTTTTATTTTAAATTAAAAATATAGTAGAAATTAAAACCTTTGGAAGTTGAAACCACCTCAGTTTCTGTTTCCTTGAGTGACACAATCGAGTTATAAACACAAGAAGTAGTTTTACAATGTCAACCATTAAGATAACTGTATTTATTGTATTTTAATAAAAAAAGGTTGCTGCTGACTCAAGTTTTACTTCATGTACTTAAACTTAGCCCTGTGATATTTTGCAACTAGAAACATTGCAGTCATGCCAAAGCACAAAGAGGAACTAGAAAATGCAACCCATTTAAAAAACCAACAACCTGAAACAAATTAAGTAACTGAGAAAGTGAAACAGCAAAGCAAACAAACCACATCCATGGTCAAAATGCACAAAAATGTTAAATATTAAATTGGCTTATATATTAGTCATCTGAGGTATATAAGCAACACAGATAAGGGTTTTTTAAGAATATATGACTTTAATTTTGTCCCTTGAATGATAAATTTACAATGAAAATGACATGTCCACCATAATTTTGAAATACAATGTAGTTACCACCACTTTCCTGAAAATGCCTTTCCATTGTATTTGGTTGTGGCAGAGAAGTAAATTTGACAAAAAATAAATTCTTATGCACATCCATCCTTAGGGGATTTATAATAAAATGACACATTTAAAACTAAATAAATGTCGTAAAAATTCTATAAAATAAACATTCCTCCTGGATCTCCTCAAACAAGATTTTCCTCAGCATATTGTCTAGTACACCACTTTAAAAACCCAAAAAACCCCACTGAACTAAAAAATAAACTTTAAAAACTGAAGAAACAGGATCAGTTTATTGAGAATGAGGCAAAAGGATACAATTGACATTGGCCTGATATTTTACCTCTTGTTGATTGGGATAATAATTTTCTCAGTGTTCAATACTGATGTCAGTCCACCTCTAGAACTTTGAGGCCATTTGTGTTGGGAAGAGCAGACGCAGCGAATATATGCATGGCACCTGTGCCAGCTTCTGGAGCATTTGTGGATCCTCTGAGGCCCCTCTCCCTAAGGCTGTCAAAGATGCTTGTGCCTACTCCTCCAATACTTGCCACAGACAGCTCAAGCGGAGATGGTTTTATTTAATTTGGAAGAGGAAAACTTTGCTCTGCCATCTCTCTGTGCTCCCACAATGTGTACTCAAGCATTAGTGGACAAATATATCAAATAAATATCAGATAAAAACCTCCAAAATATGGTAATGCAAAGAAAGTATATAGTTTAGGGTATGGTCAGAGAAGATATTCAAAGCCTCCACTGTTGCTTCTAGAAATGTCAGGACAAGTCAGAAATGTCAGTTCCTTTACCGGTTTCCAGATTGTAATTGAAGGATCATGTAGCTCTCTCACTCTTTCTCTCTCTTTCTCTCTCTCTAAATAGGTCTATAAAGATCAGCTGGAAAGTGCAGACAGAAATTGTTCACTGGTTAGCTTTACTTAGAGCTACAGGGTATATATGTGCTTTGTTTTGTCTTATTGATCAATCTAGCTTACATTTTTAGCACACACAAACAAAGATCAGGAAAAATAAAAAGTTGATGAAAAACACGAACAACACAAATAAGGTTCCAATCGTGCAAATTTTGCTTCACTGGATAAAGCACTTCTTGACACAGTAATGTCCAGAATCTCCCTCCCCCAGAAAAAATACAGGACTGAGACTGAAGCCATTCTTTTTTTTTTCCTTTTTTTTCTTTTCTTTTTTTTTTTTTTTTTCTTTTTTTCCTTAAGGCTATACAACACAAAGAAATAAAGCATGGAAGAACACCTCATTGGGCTGAACACTCCATTCTTCTGGCTCTAGAGTGAGCCTTTGACAAAGCGATTCTGTGGTCCGAGTTATTTGTTTCATTGGGACAACAACAAGAGAAAGAAAAAGAGGAAAAAATGAAAGAGACAAAAAAATAAAAAGAATAAGAAAGTCAATGATCCCAACAATAAAATCCAAAATTGACTTTACAATCACAGGTACAAATTGCTCAGGTCGATAATTTCATTTCTCCTAAAGATCACTGTCGTCTAAAACTAATTAGAGGAGCAGGTTCCAAGGAATTGTCAATATTCAAAGCAAATGTTGGAGTTTAGAAGGTTATCATTCTTCTACTGTGACAGTCTGACGGGGTGACCGAAAATATTGTCATGTGCTGCCAAGTTCAGGGTGTCATTAACAACTGAATCCTTGCTCCGGCTCATGGATCTGTCTCCTATTTGGCCTTCTTTTATAGTGGAAAGACTAAGAAGCCGGAAAAGGTTGAATATTTCCACCCTCCCATGAGGTTACCCCTTTCCAGTTTGAGATGCACTTTGTCTTCTCTTTCCATGAGGAGCAAGACCCCATTGCTGGCTGCTTCTCTGGTGACGTCCTGATCCCCTGCAAAAGCTGAAATCACTGGGTAGTTGTTTTGCATTAAACTTACCTAAAAAGTGCAAAGAGACAGAATCTGAGTTTTTGCAATACTCTCAAGGATTTTTTTTTGCCCTGTGCACATCACTAAACTTTTGTACAGGTCAGAATCTGGGTTGAATTAAGCTAAGGAAATAGGCAATGCATGATTTCTGTCATGTATACAGACCCCTTTAAAAATAACCCACAATCTCATTCTTCAACTTCTGTGGTTTGGGTTTTTTTTTTTAAATACGAGTCTTGAAATTAGCATTTGAAGAAAAAAATAAAAAAGAAAATGAAAGGAAGGACAGCATCTTCTTTCGATTAGAACCCACCTGGATGGTTTGTCTGTTATAGACCTTGACCACGTGGAAACTGAAACTATATATCCCTTTTCTTGGTGCTACAAATATACTGGAAGTAAGATCAAAATGGTTGCCAATATTAACTAATACCTGGAATGCAAACAAATAAAACAGAACAAAGAAAAGGAGAAAGAGAAAGAGAGAAATCAGAGAAATCAGACTCCACCTTAGAGAAGCACCAGCAACAATTTGACATGAGCTCAATGACCAACATAAAGCATAGCCAAAACGGCATTTGCAGCACAATTAAAAGTGCATGGTAGGGGAATGGAGTCAAGCTACAGAGGCATTTAAAAGGCATCAGAGTTAATAAAGCAATTTAGTTACACAAAAATTATCTCCAAAGCCTGTTAGATGAAGTGCAAATGTCCACACTGAGCTGTCAATAAAGCAAAGGTGGCAGAAGGAAGAGGGGGAGGAGTGTGAAATGGAGGGAAGGAGGGAGGGGGGAAAAGGTAGGAAAAAATACCAAAAGTCATTAGCTCATAATAGAAATGTAGTATTTTAGGTAGCACTACTGAAATCAGAGCTGGCCTCGAGTTTAATAGGGTATAGAACTAAAACTGCACTACAGAGAGGGGCAAAGGAGGAAAGAGGATGCTCAGCAACAGCAACATCTGCCGGCTCATGTTCTCTGTCCCTCTGGAGGGCTGTGCCGCTTGGCCCACACGCTCCTCGGGAGGCTGGGGTGGGCCTGCTCCTCCTTCCCGGCAAACACCTTAATTTTTCATATATTTCAATGTTTTTTTTGAAACAAAACAAAACCAAAAAGAAAGAGGAAGAGAACTCCGGCAGATGTGCAGAGCCTCCTTCGGAGGTGGCGGCCGCACCCTGCCGATCCCGCCGATCCTCCAGGGACCTGGCCTCGGCTCATCCTCTCATCCTCTGGCACCTTGTCCCGGCTCCCGTGACGGGAGCAGGGTTTGGCTCAAAGGGCACGGACACGGAAGAACCCGCGGGTCGGTGGCGATGCCGTCCGGCGAGCGGGTGTGCCCAGCCCGCTGCTCCGTCGGGGCCACCCCCGGGGCACGCCCGGCACCCTCAGTCTGCGGGCTAAAACTCCGCTCTAATGAAAAAATGCAAAGCGGGAGAAATAAAAAAAAAAAAAAAACAACAAAACAACTACAAAACCATATTATCGCCCCCCATCCCAAAATCCCAATCTTTTTTCTCCCAAACAGCCAAAGTCTATAGTTCCCCCCAAAAAAGGAACAAAAAAATGATTTAAAAAATCTTATTGTGCGAGCACCGAGAAAACGCCTTCAAACTCCTAGGAACTGCACATTGCCGGGTAAATTATCGAACATATACAATATATTTAGCAAGTTGGGGGGTTGATTTTTGTTGTCTTGTGGTTTTTTTTCTATTGATGCAATTTTATGAGATCTCATGTGCAACGAATGACTGTGCAAACTCATTAGGAAGGACAGGTAGACACATAAATGACAACTAGACAGGTAAGAAAAAAAAACCAAATAACCCAAAAAAACAACAAACAAACAAGCCCAGAGAAAACAGTCTGGTATGCTAATTTTGGCTGACTCTGCAATACTACTTCAGGAGTCACAAGCGGTAGGAAAAAAGGAAATTTCACCGCAAAAATAAAGTGAATGGACGGGGTTTGGTCTCCGGGAGGGGAGCGGTGCGAGGCAGGGCAGGACAAGCAGGGCAGGCTGCTCGCTGCTCTGCCCGGCGCCTGCCGTGCGGGATAACACCATTCCGACACGGCCCGCCGGAGACACCGTTTGCCTCGCCTGATAACGCGGGAAACACCCTCCTCTTCCTCATCCCTCCTTCCCTCTGAGAGACGCTGTGACATTGCCAAATGCGCTCCGAACAGGCAGATCCGGCGACTCCTCATCGGTACCACACTGAAATTGCACCGAAGGAGGGATGCTCACGCTTCCCCCGGGTCGTTCCTGGCTGGCCGAGGCAATCCTTGGCTGCAAGGCGCCCCCGCACGCGTCCGAGGCACAGACCTTCACCTCAAAGCTCTTTCCGTACTAGCGATTGTGACCGGACAGGCAGGCAGCGTGTTCACCCCCGGTACCACCTTGGGAAAGCCCTGCAGCTACCTAAATGAACTTTCCAAAGTCTTTCTGGGCCGTTGAGATGTGAAGTTGCTATTGGGCGGGTGGGTCGGGATTAGGAGATGGAAGGGGAGCCAGGAAGAGAACACGCGTGCAGCCAGGTGAGGCAGGGGCGGGGGATGCCCGCGCAGGACGCGGGGACAAGGGGGAGCGAGGGCGAAGCAGGCGGCGCCTGACCTGGTCGAAGTAGATGGTCATGGTGCGGTTGCTCATCTCGGAGGGCTCGTGGTTGGTGCTGCGGGTGGCCGAGAAGGCCACCTTGGCGCTGCCCGAGCGCACCGAGATGCCCAGCGAGGAGGTGATGGCGCCGTCGGCCGAGGGGCTGGAGTCGCAGACCACCAGGCACTTCCCCTCCAGGACGATGGGCTCCGTGTCGTTCTGCGCCCGCACCGGGCACCCGGCGGGCAGCAGCAGCAGCAGCAGCGGCAGCGCCGCCGCCAGGCAGCAGGAGCAGCCGCCCGCCGGCTCCGGCAGCGCCCCCCGCCGCCGCCGCCCCATGCCCGGCGCCGGACCGCGGCCGCCGCCGCTCCGGATGGCCGCCGACATGCGGGCGGGCGGGCGCGGGAGGCGGAGGGGGCTGCGCGCCTGCTGCCGCCGGGGCGCCCTGCGGCCAGCGCTCTGCGGGACGGCGGCTGGGCAGCGGCGGCTGCGGCCGCGCCTTCCTCCCTTTCTCCTCCTCCTCCTCCGCCTCCTCCTCTGCGCGGGGCGAAGGAGCCTTCTCAGAGGGCGGGCGGCACGCAGCAGCCTGCCAAGGGGAAAGGCGGCGGTGAAGCACGGCGGCGGGGAGCCGGCACCGCGCCGCCCGCAGGGCTGCCCCTCCCCGCCCCCGGCGCCCCGGCGAGTACAACAGGTCTGGGAGACACCTGGCTGCCCGGTGTTCCCTCTGTCTCGGGTTCCCCAGCAGCCTGCCGTACTCCGAGGGGGGAGGAGGGGCAGCGCTGCATCCCCAAACCCCCGGCGGAGCATCCTGCGGGTGCCTCGGGCAGTCCCTTTCCTGCCCCACAATCAGTGGGGTCTCCAAAACCCGGCTCCACTTCTTCCCACAGCCCCGCTATTAACTACATCTGCGAGCCCGGTGTGTATCCGTCTCTAAACTCCCCAGACACCACGGAAGGAGATTTTATTCTTGTTATAAGTAACGCGCCCTCTCTCCCCTCGATGGAGCTGCCCCGCTATCTGTAGAGTTCGCTCCCGCCCCGGCCGGGCTCTGGAGCCGCCGCAGCCCTTCTCCACGCCTGGGCACCGATTTGTACTTCCCAACCTTGTAAGACCCAAGCCAGGCTAGCGCCACTGCTGCCGACCCCGGCGACTCCCTAAACTGGCGAGAAGGAGGCAGCCGGCTCAGATATCCCCCGGTTCCCACCCCGGCATGCACACATATCGCAGGAGTCAAAGCCGTGATCACCCGGCTTCCCCCTCTGAAGTTGCATCTCAGTTTTTCCCGTTCACCAGAACACCCGGTGATCTCGCTCCTGGGAGATCGCCCCTACACTTCCCCAGAGGCATCTCTACGGTTGCCCTAACCCTGCACCTTACTCTTGCTATCATTGAAAAAGACATTTTGGGAAAAGAACAGCCGGCGGGGAGGAAAAGGGCTTTTTTACCTGGGAGGTCCATGCCGGGAGAGGCGCGTCGGCTAGATAGCTCGTCCGTGAACTTGTATAGCTTAGAGAAAATGAGCCGAGATTGCGCTGGCAGAAAGAAAAGGAAACAGGAGTCGCCTCTTTCTCTCCCGCCCATTGCCAATAATCATCCCCCTCCCGCCAGCCGCTACCACCACCACCCCTCTTCCTCCCTCCTCCCCTCTTCTCCGGCACACACACACACACACACGCAGAGGCGCCCGTCAAGGATTCAGACACCGGCACCAGAGCGGAGCGCTGCCACAGCACCGCCGGCGATGCTGCACCCCAGTCCTTGCCCCGGCCAGGCACCCCTGCGCCTTGGAGCCGCACCCCGACACATGGCGAGCAGCAGCGACAAGCCGCGATGTTCCCACTGGGACGGCCTTCCCGGTGTCACCGGAGGCAGGGAAGAGCCGTGCCGCCTCGCCCCCCCCTCTCCCCCGCCATTATTTCTACTTGAACCCGTCGTGCTAAGATGCCCCTGTTCCAACATGCCACCGACACGGTAGCGCTCACCAACCGAACCACACGGCATCACTCACTGGGAGCTATTTGGAATTCACAGACTTTGATTCTGACCACAATAATCACTGAAAAAGACATGTTTTCGGGGCACTTTGGGCCGTAGGACTGCGTCCCGCACACCGCAAGGCCCCATTCCCACACACCTCGGCGCCCAAAGTTCGGCGGCGGCTCCCCCTTTATTAATAGATTTCTTCCCCGGGGCGTCCTGATTCCCGGCCCGTTCCCCGACCCGCTCCCGAACCTGGACCTGCTCCCTGACCCGCTTCAGGACTCTGGGACTTACTCCCCGACCCGCTCCCGAACCGAACCTGTTCCCAAACCTGCTCCCGTCCCAGGGCTCGTTCCCGGCCCCGGCTCCACTCCCTTCCCCGGCCCCGGTTCCCGATCCCTCTCCCGGTCCCGCTCCCGGTCCCGCCCGCGGCTCCGCTCCAAGCGCGGTCGCGCGGCGCCACCTGGCGGCGGTGCGAGGCGAGCCGCGGGTCTGTGAGGGACTGAGGGGACAGGGAGGGACTGAGGGAACACGGAGGGACGGAGGGAGCAGGGAGGAACAGAGGGAGCCGGGAGGGACGGAGGGAACACGGAGGGTCGCACCCCGGCAGGGGAGGGAGGAGGGAAATTCCCAAAGGGCAGAACGCTCGGCTGAGGAGCTGGGTGGCCGCCCCCTCTGGCTGCCTGCGGGGCCTGGGTGAGCTGGGCTCGTAGGTCGCCCCTGCCTTGCGGAGCGGGCGCGATGTTGTCTGTCACAGCCAAGGTTATCATCAGATGTTGCTGGCTGCAAATGTTTCGTGCTCCTGAGCTCGTGGGGCTGCTGCTGAGAGGTTATCAGCAATGCGAGGGAGGGTAAGGCAGAGCTCTGGCAATGCAGGTTTGAGAAACACTATGCATTTTGATGCATTTCTGTCAATTGTAAGCTGGTTTTTTCATGGCATATGGCGTTTTCCTAGAGATCCTGAAACTTAGACTTCAGCATCTGGAAGGAACTTATCAGAAAATTGTGTTTGCATTTAAGCGGTAGCTCCTGATATAGAGAAAATTTGCTGGTGTATGTAAACAGTAAAATTATAATTCTCTCTCCATGAATGAGCGCTTCTCTGTTTCAATCTTCTGCTTTAAGCAGGAGCAAGGAACCCCTGAGGGTGTCTGCCTGGTGATTTGCACCGAGAAATTAATCATGCCCTGAAATTACAGCTAAGCAGTGTGCAGGGAATTCCTAACCTATAGCTCCTTATTTCAAACGAGAAATTTATGCTAAGCCTGAAATACTCATGTTTAATGGTCTTTTTCCTGAGTTCAAGCATGGAGCGATGGGAGTAGAAAGCTGAAAAGTGTAGTGCATTAAAATTATCAGAAATCAGAGCAGGAACAAGTCTGTGGCTGTAAGGCAGCACGTATTCTGCAAGACAGGGAAAAGGAGCACAGAAATTCCTTTAGAAGAGATTGACACTCAATCTCACCTCTGTCTGGTACACTAGGGAGTTGCTATTATTTCTCTTTAGATCACACTACTCATTGATTATGACTATGTTGCAGAAAAGAGGCATTAAAGAAGAGCCAAAGGATTTGTACCTTGTTCTATATGACTTAAAACATAAGGCCCAGTGCTGAGGGAATGATGGCATGTTATCCCTTCTGCCTGCAACTTCCAAGGAAGATGAGCATAAGAACTAAAGGGAACTGAAAAGCCATTAAATCCAATGTGCACCCACAGGAAAAAAAAGAGAGATTAAATCTTGCCCTTTTTAGTACAAGAAATAGATCCCAAAAGCATAGAAACTCCCTTCTTCTTAGATAGGTAACTAGTAAAAGACCTGTAAGTAAAAATCATTGCAGTATGAATAGAGCAAGGGGCAATAACAACAGAATATTTACTTCTAATAAAATACTGAATCATATGACATTTACAGTGCTTATTAGAAAACAGTTCTGTGTGTTACTTCTAATTAAATATTGTCCTTAAAGGAATAAAATTGCAGCCTTCATGGAGCTATATAGCTGGTGGATTTACTTGAGCATCTTTCTTTTTTTTTTTTTTTTGAGTTGGAAGAATGAAAATATAGAACATTAAATTATTAATGTCAGAAAATGCACCTCAGTTATAAAGTGACTTCAGAAAGTATAGCTTCTAAAGTAAATTTGCAGGTAAGTTACTGGTAAAGTTTGGTAAAGTTCTCTTTCTTGAGTTCAAAAAGTTGGTTGTAGTTGGAAAAGAATAGTGTGTAATCAAGTTCATGTCATTTTTCATCACTTTGCCAAGAGTACAAACATTTCTACCAGGGATGTGTTGAACTTGATGGTGTGGAAGTTACACACGAAATAAAACTGCTCATTTCTTTGGAACCATTCCTAAGCTAGCCCTCACCTTGAACTCATTTAATCCAACAGCTTCAAGGGGAAAAGCTTTTTGTCTTATCTACTAAATCAAGTTATCAACAGAAGAGTATTTTGATCAGTAGCTCCCAAGTGTTTCCCATATATTATTTACAATAATGTCAAACAAAATAGGACACTCCTTTCCAAAAGAAAATTATGTATGTCTTTTCCTGAAATTATTTCATAGATATTTGCATATATTATATCATTGTTGCATGTACATAAACAGAGAAAGAAGAAATGTTCATTTAATGTGAAAATTTCTTTTATCTACCTAAAATATTAGAACAAATTTGTAGCAGGGACACAAAAACACTTCCCTAATCAGCCAAGGTGATGATTTCTGGGTCCTTGTTTATCAAATAGATTGCCATTTAAATGGCTAACCCGTGTCTTCATCGATTACTTGTCCTTTAAACAACAATTTTACTGTAAATTGTAACAAATGGGATTTAAAAAATCTGATCATTTTTTCTTGCAAGCACATCTTTGAAATATAATCTGATGGCAGAGAAAGTGCACTCTTCTGTACCTACCTAGTGACAACCTCCATATTAACCACAAGTGATTGTTGGTGAGCAAGCTGAAGTACACCCACCCTCTGTGAGAGCAATCCTTGTGCTAATTCTGCTATCAGCATGACTAAAACAATGTTTTGTTAATTCAAATCTGTGTTTAATTCCCTATTCTATGGGGACTCCAGGGCTTTTACCTTATAGCTGTCAGCTATGGCCAGGAATATACAACTCTTTGTTGATAACATGCACAACATTCTCAAGTATAAGCAATATAGGGAAAAATCACATAATAAATTAGAGTTCATTCACAGAGATGCTTAAACTTGTTTTCTAGTCCCTGAGTCTTAGTGCTTCACACATCAACCAAGGCAGTTAGGCTTTTCCCCTACATAACAAAATTCACCAGAAGTTTTTATCAGGTGACAGTTCTCAAGTGCAAAGGTTTTCCCTTCATTGGAAA